GGAGCTGGAACCAGAGACGGGAGCTCACTCCGTCATGCGGCACACTCGGGTCTCAAACTGCTGAACTACCGACCTTCCACAGCCTGCTGTTCAGCGTCTTAACCACTTGAGCCACCGCAGCTCCTAAAGTGTACCTACCGGGTACTAAAAAAAAAAAAAATGTGGGATTCGCTCAAGAAGATGTGTTGGCAACAGGAATAAACAGCTTTAAAGGGGAATTGGACAGATGAATGGAGGAGAGGGTCTGACTCCCAACCACGGTAACTCAAGGGAACCTCCACATTCAGAGGCACTAATCCTCTGAATCCCAGGGCCAGGCGGCACACATCGGGGGAAGGCCTCGGCCTGTATGCCCTGCTGTTGGACCTCCTGAGTAGCCCCCGTGTGAGACGGGAGGCTGGACTAGAGGGACTATTGCTCTGATCCAGCAAGGATCTTCCGATGTTCTTATCTCCTGTAACTGGCAGTGGTTCTCCAGGCTGAGGTCTTTCACATCCCATCCCGCCTGGTCCTTTTAACCGGAGATGCTGCTGGGGATTGAACCTGGGACCTTCCGCAAGCAAAGCAGAGGCTCTGCCATTGAGCCACAGCCTCTCCCCTTCTGACCTAACTGCCAGAAGAGCCCTAAAACGCCCACCAAAGTCTACAGCCAGCTTACCAATTCCTCACTATCAGGAGTAATTTCCTGCAGGAGCGCACAGGAGCGGAGCTCCGGCAGTAAAGAGCCCAGGGGGCGGGCACATGCAACAAGCCCCACCCCCTGCTCCCAGCAGCCCTCAGTCAGAGCAAGAAGCAGCCAGGTAAGTTGCAGAGCCCACCCCCCGGTCCAAAACAGTCCAGTGGCACCTTTAAGACCAAGTTTTATTCAGGTACAAGCTCTTCCTCCTTTGGGAGGACAGATCTGCACGTGTCCCCCCCCCAATAGCTAGCAATCCAAAACAGTCCAGTGGCACCTTTAAGACCAAGTTTTATTCAGGTACAAGCTCTTCCTCCTTTGGGAGGACAGATCTGCACGTGTCCCCCCCCCAATAGCTAGCAATCCAAAACAGTCCAGTGGAGCCTGAGCGGTGGGTGTTGCCTTCTGACACACTTCCGGTGATGTCAGGGGGGGTGGCATATGCAAATAGGTTATGCTAATGAGTTATGCTAATGAGCTTTTTCTACGAAATGACCCCTGCTCACTAACATTCTACGGAAACGACTAACGGAGTCCTCTGAGGGCAGTTATCCCTCTCAGCCTCCAGGCCTGAAAGACCCCAGCTCCGGAAGCGAGGCAGAACTCTGCCCGCCTCTGAACATCCCTTCCTGCGTTGACCTGTCCTGCATGCGGTTCTATTCGGTTCTTGGTTACACACCACAACACAAACGGGCTCAGCCGGCAGCCGGCGAGTTTCGCCAAGTACGACTCTCATCTCTCCCCCGCCCACCTTTCGCTTGCTGGCACACCTTTATCTATTTATTTATCTCATTTGTACCCCCGCCCTCCCTGCAATGCGGGCTCAGGGCAGCTAACAATCAAAGCATAAATACGATTGAAAGACATAAAATCTTCTAGAAACCATTCCCCTATAGCTAGTACAATACATATACCTGGGCTCTTTTTGTAGAAAAAGCCCAGCAGGAACTCATTAGCATAATAGGCCACACCCAACAGCAGAAACACATTAGCATATTAGGCCACACACCCATGTTACCAGAAGTGTGCTCATCCAGCCACACCCACCTTTTGCTTCTTATTCTGTTTACCTTGTTTGTTGTCCAAACCCAGGGCTTTTTTTGTAGCAGGAACTCCTTTGCATGTTAGGCCACACACCCCTAATGTAGCCAATCCAAATGAGTTCCTGCTGTTGGGTGTGGCCTATTATGCTAATGCGTTCTTGCTGGGTGTGGCCAACTTGGGAGCCAGCCGGAACTCCGTTCCTGTGCGTTCCTGCCCAAAAATAGCCCTGCATATAGCCAATACAAATTAATAAAATGCTGGTGATGGTTATTTAGTTATTCAAGACGGCTGACTCTCACGGTGCACTTTCAGAGGTCTAGGCATCATTCTGCTCCTGAGCTTCCTGCAGCACAGGCTAGGTGTCAAAACCAAGCACCCAGGCTCTATAGTGGTGGCGGGCTCCCTAGCTGAAAGCCTGGCGGAAGAGCTCTGTCTTGCAGACCCTGCAGAACTGTAAGAGATCCCCCGCGGGGCCCTGATCTCCTCCGGGAGCTCATTCCACCAGGATGGGGCCACCACTCAAAAAGCCCTGGCGGTAGTGAGCCTGGCATCTTTGGGGCCTGGGAGGGTCAGTCGGCTTTCTGGGGCATATATGGGGACAGGCGGTCCCCCGCAGGTATGTCGGACCCTTGACCATGACAGGTAGAAGGGGGGGAAGGGAGAACCCTGGTTTAAAAAGCTGCCGGCTTCTGTGCTAGAATGTGATGCCAGATGGGTCCGAGACCTGCACGCAAGTACCAATTCAATCCCAGCCATCTTCTCCTGCATTTTTGACATGTAGCCAATCCAGCGGATCGTGCCGGTGACGCAATTGCCCATGCCCAGGTCGATCTGTACGACGGAGTTCACGTCGAGGGAGGGGGGCCTGTTCTCTCCGTCCTCCAGGCTCTCGCTTCTCTCGCGCTTCCTTTGCGTCCAGGTCCCACCGTCCGTATCGGCCACGAGTGCTGGAAGGAACAGACACGCACCTTGATAGCATATAACACCCACAAACAAAAGGTTATTTTTTACCTATTTTGTGTGTGTGGGGGGGGGGGGAATCAAACTGGAAACAAAATATCCTCAATCAGTGGGAGTCAAACCAGCTTCCATAATTAAAAAAAGAAAAAATCTCCTTAACTCAATTTCATACAGATGGACATTTCCAGAAGGATTTGTGTTCAACTATAAAGATAAGAAGACCAAGATTGACTCTGTTCAGAAAGCCAAAAAAAATTGGAACAGCAACAAAACCTGAAAATAGATGAAAGAAAGACTGAGGACAACAATGAAGAAGATGATAAAAATGACTGTGAATCTGAAGATACGTCAAGTAGCTCTGGCAGTACCTCTGAGGTCTCGGATTTGAAAAAAAGGAGGTGCTGCTGCTCCCAAACCACTTAAAGTTAAACTAAAATACAAGAAGAAAAAGCGTGGAAAATAAACTGGAAGTTCAATAGAACATAATTGACTATAAAGCACCTATAGATTTGTATCTCAAGCCAGCTTTATCTAGAAATCAATACCTTGACATACTACTTTTGTTATTATTATAGGTCCAATATATAAGAATGTAATTTCTGGAATATGATCCTTAATTTAGCTTCTGTATTAGTTTTAGAGCTTCCTTTGTCCCTTTCCCTTAGGATGTAGTATATAAAAGCAATAAAAATTATTTTTTTTTAAAAAAAGGAATGGAACAGCAGCAAAAACTCCGGGGAGAAATTATCAGAAATTTCAGAAAAATAAAACGTTGCCGATTTTGCTCGAGGTGCTAATTTCAGTTTCCTTTCCAAAGTAGTAGAGAGTAAAAACAACCCCAACACCATCACAGGATCCACTGGTGGTGGCTCAAGTGGTTAAGACGCTGAACTGCAGGCCATGGAAGGTCGGTAGTTCAGCAGTTCGAGACCCGGGTGTGCCGCATGATGGAGTGAGCTCCCGTCTCTAGTTCCAGCTCATGCCAACCTAGCAGTTTGAAAGCAAGAAATTGCAAGCAGATCAATAGGTACCACTTCAGTGGGAACGTAACAGCGTTCCGTGCGCCTTGGTGTTTAGTCATACCAGCCACATGACCACGGAAATGTCTTCGGACAGCGCTGGCTCTTCGGCTTTGAAACGGAGATGAGCACCGCAACCATAGAGTCGGACTCAACTGGCTTTTGAGCAAGGGAACCTTTACCTTTAATGCTTGCTTATCCACCTTGCTTTAATGCTTGCTTATCCACCTTGCAGGTGGTGTGTAGTGTCTGGGATTCTAGGGAAATGTGGGAGGGCTTTCGGTTCTCAGCTTCGACTCTAACGGCCTGGGGCTCCTTCTCCCGCGCGCGGGAATGTGGCTAATTGGCCTGGGGGGGGTGCATACGAATACCCTATATCCCACTAGGCTTGTAGGGGCGACGCCACTCTTAACAGTGCCTTTGTTAATGCATCTATAGCGCTTCAATAAAGTATAACCTTTCCGATAAGCGTGTACTCAGTTGCTGGCTGTGGAACCTGACAAAAACTGAAAACAAATTGCTATCAATTTCTCCCCTTCCCTCCATAAAGTCGGGTCAATTTGACCCCACGTTCTGGTTCGCTGCTCCGTATACGGATTCCTACATCTGGGATTCAAAAGGCTACGCCGACTATTCCATTGGGTTCTGAAACGGTCCTGCTGCACAGAGCCAAACGAAGCAGGCTATAAAGGCCATTCGGGGTGGGGGTGGGGGGGAGACTGAAAACATCCATTCAGAACCACACTGCGGCAGGGTTAGAAGAGAGTTTGGGTGCAGCTCTCGCCACCAGGAAAACGGAGAACAGAATCAAGGGGCACAGACCACCAAAGGGCCAGCTCACCCGACGAAAGTAGCCCTTCCTTCACCACGGAGTCCATGGGGATATCCCTGAAAACATCGGTTGTCCCTTCTTCCTCCTATACGTGGAGAAGTACAAGACTCAGTTAAGAACAGAGTGGGAGGGGGTGGGAGATGAAGATCATAGAACGTTAGAGTTGGAAGGGACCCTGCAGGTCATCTAGTCCAGCCCCCTGCACTCTGCAGGAGCACAGCCGAAAGAGAGCCCCACAACAGACCCAAAAGAGGGTCGTCCAGCCTCCGCTTGGAAACGTCCAGCAAAGGAGCATCCACCACCGCCCAAGGCATACTGTTCCACGGCTCAACCACTCTTACAGTCAGGAAGTTTCTCCTGATACTTAGCCGGTAACAGAGGGAGAACCCTCTGTTTCAACCAGAAGTCACTGTTGCACTTGTTGTCATTTATTTGATTGGGAAACAACAAAAGGGGGGGGGGGACCCAACCTGAGAGTCAAGGCTGAGCGGCTAAAACAGGGGTGTCGAACTCATTTGTTATGAGGGCCGGATCTGACATAAACGAGACCTCGTTGGGCTGGTCCATGGGTGTCGTAAAATGTAATGCCAGGTAGCAGAGATGTAAACTTCATGAAGGACAGAAACACAAAGGTGTTTTTTTAATTTAAAATAAAAACATGCTTAAAACATTAGCACTCTTGCAATGTTTTGTTTATTTAACAGTCTCTGATAAAATGACGCTTCTTGCTCTGAATTACTGCATCAAAATGTCTGTGCTCTTGCAATCCTCAGTGTGCTGCTCAGGTGTGTATCTGTAAGCTGCAAACCTACGATGACGCAGCAGCAGCAGAACTGGAAGAAGAAGCAGGAGATGGCCAGTTCCACTGCAGGCCTGAGAGAAGCCCTCCGGGGGCCTGATCCGGCCCCCGGGCCGCATGTTTGACACCCCTGAGCTAAAACAGAACTTTGTATATGTGTCTTCCCTTTTGGTTGACGCACGGACACACATATTGTGAATACAGTAACAGCCGAGAGCATAATGGTTGTACACAGTTCTCATCTCCGATGGGTGTGGGGCTCCTCAATATATGCAGATCTGATTTGACAGCAAAACTTTATAGCTATTTATTTGGAGCTGCACTATTGCATTGATTCATATACAACCTGCCTTGCCTGAGGGTGTGTTATTATTTAGACCACTGAAGAAGGCCCTTGGGGCCGAAACACATTTGGTCTAGTGGTTATTGCATGTGTAACAAATATTTTCGTCTACGAGTTACACACACAATAACCACTAGACCAAATTAATGACAAAGAAGTTCATATATAATTAATGCACACAGTTTGAAAAAGTTCATTTTTAATGTCTTTGTTTGATAGTTCACCACCTTTCACTAACTGGGGGGAAAGGCAGCATCAGCTACGGTGGGGGCTTTTGGGGGCTTCGCCCTCAGTTGTTCTGTGAAAGGTGTGTCCCACTGTGTGTGGGAAGCAGTCTGCTTTTTGGAGACCTTCTGTAATTAGCCTGATGCAGAAGTTCAGCATGTAATGTTTTGGGGAGGGGATGTAGCTCAGTGGCAGAGCATCTGCTTGGCATGCAGAAGGTCCCGTGTTCAGTCCCCAGCACAGGCCCGTAGCTACAGCTTCCTTCAAGGCACAGCCCCACAAGAATTTCTCCTGTAAATGCTTTTATCAATCATTTTTAAACATTTCTGTAAAGGCATGCACTCCTTTAAGCAGAGTGGGGTGCTGTAGTTGACTAATTCCAAGGGGGTTGGAGTAGGTGACCTCTAGGATCACTTCTAACTCTGTGCCAAGAAACTTGTCATCTTTAAGAGATTTTTACTGCCTGTTAGCTTTCTTGGCTATAGAAGTCATCACCCTCGCCTGCCGGCTTGTTCTCAGGATTGTTGCTTCGGCTGGCAGAAGTGATTAACTTGCAGCGGCTGACTGTCATCTAAAATGGTGGACAGCTTGCAATTCAGAGATCTGTCCTGGTCACAGCTTTCTCCTGGCTAAATGGCTTTTCTTTCTGCACTGAGAACTTCAGCCCCACCAGGAAAAAAACTGCCCCACAAGCCACAGAATCCCGGTTAGGGGCCTGGGCAGCATACAAATGTTTCCAACGAAATCACACCGTGTGGCCGAGGAAGGAACGGAATGATTCTGAAACTCTTAGGTGTGACACTGCCTAAACTTCATCCTGATCTCGAGTCTCTCAGAAAAATCCTGTTCAAACCAGCAACAGGAAACGTTTCTAACTAGAGATGCCAGAACTGATGGACACCAAGTGGGAGCACCTGCCGCAGAGCCAGGGCTCTCTTCAGCCGCATAATCTGCATCACTTTCCATCACAGGCAAGCAGGAACACGTTCTCTGCCACAAGACTGGGACAGCCGTCACATCCTCCTTGTACGACTAATTAATGAACACATGCAGGGCTCTTTCTGTAGCAGGGACTCCTTTGCATATTAGGCGACACACCCCTAACGTAACCAATCCTCCAAGAGCCTACAGCAGCCCCTGTGAGAAGAGCTCTGTAAGCTCTTGGAGGACTGGCTACATTAGGGGTGTGTCGCCTAATATGCAAGGGAGTCCCTGCTACAAAAAGAGCCCAGAATACATTTACCAAAAGATTAAAAACAGAGGCGTGAGTTCCTTACCGGGCACACTTTAACCATCCAGTCGCTGCCCTCCTTGTACACAGCCATGGCTACTCCGCGAGTGTAGACGTCATCCAAATAGAAACCAACCGTTTCCCCCACTTTTACGGGAATGTCCTCCACAGCCTCCGGCTTTTCCTCCTGCTTCGTCTTGATGTTCTCAGATGCGGCTACAAACCGCAGTTTGTTACACGGCAGGAAGAGGCCGCAGTCCGGTTTACACTTGAAGTATTCTGTCATGTTATAGGTGCCGTCGCAGTGGCCTCTGCCAACACCGTCCCCCTGGAGAAGCAGCAGACAAACAAATGACATCCCAGGTCCCCAGACAAAGGCAGGGAGAACTTCGTAAGATAAGCATAATATGATCCACAGAAAGAGGCAGCTAAGAACTTCAACACAGGAACTAAATATCACAAAAAGAGAAGTAGATCCTAAACCGCATCGGTGTTACATCACAAGAACATAAGAAGAGTCCAGCTGGAACAGACCACTGGTCTATGTAGAAGAAGAAGAGACTGGATTTATACCCCGCCCTTCACTACTCAGAGGAGTCTCAAAGTGGTTTACAATCTCCTTTCCCTTCCCCTCCCCACAACAGACACCCTGTGAGGTGGGTGGGGCTGAGAGAGCACTGACAGAAACTGCTCTTTTTTTCAAGAACAGCTCTTGTCAGAACTTGTGACTGACCCAAGGTCACACCAGCAGTTCAGAGGAGTCTCAAAGTGGTTTACAATCTCCTTTCCCTTCCCCTCCCCACAACAGACACCCTTGTGAGGTGGGTGGGACTGAGAGAGCTCTGGCACAAACTGCTCTTTTTTTCAAGAACAGCTCTTGTCAGAACTTGTGACTGACCCAAGGTCACACCAGCAGATGCATGTGGAGGAGTGGGGAATCAAACCCGGTTCTCCCAGATTAGAGTCTGCGCACTTAACCACGACACCAAACTGGCTTCCACCACTACACTATCTAGTCCATCATTGTGTCTCACACACACAACCAATTCTTCTGGAGAACCAAACAAAAGGGGCCTAGGGGCTAAGGTCTTCCCCTGATAAAGAAGGGTACGGTTTTATACCCCGCTTTTCTCTACCGTAAGGAGTCTCAAAGTGGCCTGGATGCCGCCTCCTACCACCAATATTCAGAGGTTTGCTGCCCCAGAACATGGAAGTTCCTTTTAGTTACCATGACTAGCCAGTTTGGTGAAGTGGTTAGGAGCGCGGACTCTAACCTGGGAGAAGCGGGTTTGATTCTCCACTCCTCCAAACGCAGCTGCT